GCGGGAGAAACTCAACAGACAGCTTTTTGTGTATTTTACTTTCTCGCCGAAACCACGACGGCGGATATTTGGTGATGAAACCAATAAAAAAATCTTATTCCGACGATAAAACGATAGACTGTGCCAAGTACGTGTTATAATATAGATAAAAAAAGTAATTCATTCTTGTGTATGGTTGGAAAAAGTAGACTATCTAGAACATACAGCTGATTGTTTGAAAGTTAACCTTGAATGAAATAACGCTGTTCTTTACGTGAATGGACAGTTGATACAGCTACAGAGTTACTGACCTATAAACACTGTTCAATTGTTTAAGACTTGTCAGTTTAAAAACGATGACGTTATGAAAAAAAAATTAATATTTCATTGATGATTATTATTTCAATGGAATAAATGCTTTTTATAAACTTAATTACATTATCTTTGTAAAAAAAATGTATACATTCAAATTACAACGATTATATATATGTATATTCAATTGCATTTTTCTAAAGGTTGAAAGTATGACGTACAAAACTATAGTTCTTGCTGGATTTAGGTATGCTATTTTTTATTCTTAAATAAAAACTAATAAATCTAATACATTAATGTTGAAGTCACGTTGAATCCTTCATTACAGTACATCGTGTACATAATGATTATAATTTGCATTGACGTTTTAAGAATGTTGCTATTGAATTATTAAAGTCTCTACAAGGTTGAATGTAAGACGAGGTATTTGATTTTTTTTACTCAACTCAATGTTATGAGTGAAGTTTTTGATTTGTTTTAAATCAAATATAAATTAATTTAACATTTATGATGTCATAGTTCATTTTAAATATTAATGATCCTACTAATATTATAATTGCGAAAGTTTGTGAGTGTGTGTGTGTATGTTTGTTACTTCTTCAAATTCAAACGGCTGAACCGATTTTGATTAAAATTTGGGTACAGGAAGCTGACGTCTAGGAATAACATATAGGCTACTTTACATCCCGGAAATCCGCGGGTAACACCGCGGGGCGCAGCTAGTATTATATAAGAGGCGTATTATTTGAAATTATTTTATCTCCTACAACCTTGTATGACCTCATGGTATGTCATACATATAAATATGTAGGTATAATGTTTACATTCTTAAGACGCCATTTCAATTCTGTACAATATATTTTTTTTACTAAATCAGGACGTACATATATCGCGTTTATGGCAATATTTGTTTATTAATGAACCCGCCTTACAAAGGTAATTCAGTTCCAATATTGAATAGATTGCTAAGATTTTTTTATATTAAAATGGAATTTATACAAGAAATAGAAATCTATAGAGAGTAAAATGTACTGTAATCTTCGTTATATTTTATCGTACGGAGTGTCATTCTGTCAGTATTCTGTCAATTCATTAAGAACTGTCATTGTTACACACGCACGGCTAATGTTTAATAAATTATAAATATAATTAATTTACGTCGTGTTCTTAGTATAATTTCATTGTAAACTTGTCGCAAATGAGGATTTTTTTTGAAGACGCAATTATTATTTTATTAATGTTATTAAAAAGCTATAATAAATCTTATAAAAATATATCATAGAATTTAGAAGCTAATTGTAATGGAAGCAATAATACGAAGATGTTGCCTGCTTATGAAAATTTATTATTCAGGGGTTTCCATATCGGAAAATTCAAATGAATTTTCGCATATAGAAAGAGAATTTACATAAAAACCAAGTAATAATTGAAATCTCTACGCATGTACATACACACATTAGCACTAGACGAGTAAATATTCATTGTTTACTCAATAGAAAGTAAGATTTCAAATGACTTATTTGTTTTGTCTATTTCCAACGACGTAAATCAAACTGCGAAGATTTTTTCAACATCATAAAGATACAACATTATTTCCCTTTTAACAATATCGCAAGTCATTATTGTTTTATTCATAAATGAATGACTTGACTTATTTTTATAGAAAATTTACTTACATTTTTCCTTAGTAAGTATTTCTTTTACAATACAATACAAACAGGATGTGTTGTATTTTACGTAAAATGACACTTCTTGTTGTTAAGTCTAAAGCGTGTTTAAATTATTTCCTTGAATATTTTTGAAAAAAAGAATAATAAAAACCTTGTTTTTTTCCCTCAATAATGTACGGAGGATTGTGTTTTGCCAACAGACAGTAAAAAAGTAAATATTAATGAGTACAGAGTTCCTATATACTTATTTATTTATTAGTCACTTACTCATTGAGGTGTCCATTAAATTTCTTTTACTAAAATAAAAAGATTCTTCATAATATTATATTATTTGTACATTTCAGAAACAAAATTTTATATAAATACTTTTCAAGAAAAACGGTTATAAAATTTGAAAGTAGAACCTCCTTTGTGAACTCGGTTTAAAAAGAATTTACCTTTAAAATTGGTAATCACGTTTCTATTCTGCGTAGAAAACCGAGAATCGATTTCACTAAATTCCAAATCTAAGATAGGCAACCAATTGTTGGAAAAAAATCCTCTTATCTAAATTCTTGTGGGGATGAAAATAATCTTAAGAATGAATAGGTAGATATATAAAAATGAAATACATTACTTAAAAATCTTCCATCTTTATTTATTAAATGAGCTAAAAACAAATTTAAATTGCCATTGTATATAAACGTTTTGGGACCTGCCATCATTATTATGCTCCAAACTATTTGCTTTTTTAAACTATAGCTTCATTCGCACTTAGATTGTGTAATATTGTGCCAATATAATTATTGTATTTGTTGGATTAAAGAAAGAAGATTTTATTGAACCAAATCGATTAATCCTGATTCCCAAAAAAGAGGGTTGATGTCAGGCAGGCGGCCGGTCGTAAAAAACAATTAGCCAAAACTATTTCACAACATAAAAGGCAGACCCTGGCTATAGCTGGGAAATTGCCAGGTAGAAGAAAAAGATTGAACCAAATCGAAAACTGACAGACGTCATTGGATGCATGATCTATAATAACATAATTGACAGCTGACATTACGGGCGCGCGAGAATAGAAATGTTTTATTATCTTTCTTATACTAGCTTTATAATGGTCATTATAACTAAAATATCAGAACACACGAAGCGTAAAACCGTATTTAGACTGCCATTGTTTATTAATGAACACGAAACAATGGCGCCCACTGTGATTTATTGTTGGGAAATGTCACCGCTCACTGATATGTGAGAAATAGAAACATACGTTATATGTATTTGTGAAATGAACTGAGTTATCGGTTAGTATATTTTTCTTTCACGTTTAATGAGTAAATGACATTGAGGAAATACTTTGAGATAAATTATGTCTTGTATAATGACATATGTTCTTTGCTATGTTTGATGTAAAATAGTTATTTTTCGTCCACAATTCTGTCTTATTTCCCTTCCACGATCTCATTTTCGTTCTCGTCAATCCACTTGACACATATGGTATCAACTTTCCATCCAAACTCGCCTTCGGAGGCTGTTTATTGCACAACAACCTTTTTTTTCACACTAGTGTTTGATACCAATTTCTAAATTCTTACTTGTATGACGTGGGAATGGTTTGCAATTAGCTATTTAACACAATCTCTTTAATACAAATTATATAAAGTTTTAAACGATTTACTAGCTTAAAAAAGGCAACTACTAAAATTTTGTGTTTTATGCTATAAGTATCCATAATCTTCTTCTTCCTGGCAATTTCCCAGCTTTAGCCAGGGTCTGCCTAATATAAGTATCCATAATAACAAAGATGAAATAACTGTCCTGAGATTAAGAATGAGTCTTAAACTATCTTTGAAGTTTTTTTTTATGTCCTTCATTATCCTTTTATTACCAGATCTTTACTTATGATATTCTTTTTAAACTATACAATATTGTATACAAATTCCTTGCAACAATAAACTCGTTTATTACAATCGTTCTAGAAACAGTAATAAAGCAATAAAAATTATGAATTCACAAGTAAAAGATTACTTGAATAGTTAGCATTGAAATGAACTTGTATTTAAAAATGTATTCATTTTGAATTCATTTATAATATTTGTGCGTCGGCCTCCACACCGGATATATTTTTGTTTTCGCGAATTTTAAAGCGCGTAGTGATGATAGAGCTTACGGTTCCTTGGGAAACCAACATCCCCAAAGACCATACCATCAAGGTCAACAAATATTACGAGCTCACTAACGAACTCACTCGAAATAGGTTCTTAGTAGATTTGTACGCGGTAGAAATCTCTCTACAACCTACTAAAAGACTTTGGCCTCTCCAGAACTCACATTAATGCATTCTTGGAACGTACATCGAAGGCAGCCCTAGTAGGTTCTTTTCAAATTTGGTTAGGTAGGGAGAGGAGCTTGGATAGTGGACCGTATAACGCGCGTTAGTTAAGGGGCCCCTTAAACCTACACTTGGGTTGTAAGTCCCAGGCACTGTTGAAGCTCCTCTCCCTGCAACGCGATGGACCCGGCACCCGCACGGTGAATCCATGGAATGCTGAGTAGTTTCGTCTCTATTATTCATTTAATAGTAATGATAGTTTATGGTTATTTTACTATGGAATATATCTCATATATAATATGAATATTCTTCATATAAAAATTATGTTCATTTGAACATGTTCAATGATTTATCTATGAGGAAGCTTAGCTTGTTACGACTATAGTTACACAACCCGGGGTTACGTGGCCGTGTGTAAACGACATTTATCGCCACACGGCGATTTATCGCTCTCTAATTAACTTGCAATTTTTAATAGCACGCCTATCATGATAGAAAGATCACGTACGTTATGTTTCGTACTAAGATCATTATTAGCGTATCGGCTAGGCCATATACATTCTATTTTTAAATACACTAATATTAATTTTTTTTTAATAATTGTATATGTACTTAAGTAACAGATTTTATTTACGGACAGTATTATTGTTAAAGGTACATACGAAAAAGTTTCGCATTACTAATTTAAATTTGGAATACGATGACGTTTATTTTTTTTTGTTTTATTCCAGGTGGAGTCAGGTCGTGAAGAATTGAAGAAGGAGCGCGAGATCATGCAGCTGGTGGCTGGTCTTCAGCTGAACAGCGATGACGTGGAGCGTAGGGAGGTCCCGCCTCACGTGATGAGATCCAAACACGCCCCCAGGTGACCGAGACTTCATATTTCATGCCAGGATTATATTAAATTACCTCCAAAAAAAAAAAAAAAAAAGAAAAAAATACTCAGGAATACTCGATAGTATATGTTAATTAGTGACTCGGACTAAGGTCTATCCAATTGATAAATCTATGTATTCTGTTTTTGAAAGAAATCTGAAGTTCTCATATACTTATTTATTATGTTGTAAATATAAATTTTGTTCTCATGTACCAGGGTTTTATATAGTTATCTGCATTCTTGGCTAGCGTCCATGCGTGAATTTTTCTTTATATATTGATGTACTTGGCTCACGGTTCTCAATGACTGCAGTGTTTTTTTACCTAACTTTTGAATCTTTATTTTGCGAATTGCCAAATGCGTTGCGTTGTTAATATATATATATTGCTAATCGAATGTTTTCAAGCTAAGGCGACTGTAACATACATTTATATTAGGTTTAATTTACTTTATTATCTAAAATCTAAATATACATAATAAATGCGATCGTTTTTTGCTGTACTTTTTATTAGCAAATGTATTAAACTTCTAGATTAATTAGCGTGCTATTTGCGATATTTTAATTTTAGGAGATAATCTGTAACATACATACAGACAGATGTCATTAAGTTTAACATAGTATAAAAAACAATGTTTCTCGGGCTATTTTTAGAATTAATTGTCAAATTTCTTCGCTAATTCATTATTCGTGATTTTCCACGTAACGTAACAGAAGCTTGTATTATTTTCAGATAACATAGCGCCAAGACATCAGGGCCATCTAAGTACGGGGAGTATCATCTTAAAAAAGCAGCTGTTTGGAGTTTACAGATAAAAAAAAGATATTAATCGATATCTATATGTATCGATTGTGTATCGATATCTCGCGATCTTTCACATTACATCGATAATTTGTAAGAAAATCGCGACTTCATTATATAAATGGACGTCATAGCTGGCGACTATCTGTACTTTTAAAACAAATAACATATCGTGAACTACAATTAATAATAAAACTAACGAAATATATACAGAAAATCGTTGAATGATAAATATTGTTTTCTAGTTTTTCACTATCTCTCTACACGTTAATCAATGCTGTTGACGATACACGCAATAATTCTATTTCATTTCTGCTTGCGAGTTTCACTTTATTCAACTTGTATTGTATTGTAATTATGTTGTAGCTTAAAAAGAGAAAATAATATGGAGTAAATTCTCGAATTTTCGTCTAAAATAATATACGAAAAATCCACTATAGTATTTTACGGCGGAAAATATTGAAACCAACGTCTAAATGGACAATGTAAATGCTTACTAAAAATAATAATTGTCTATGATGGGTATTGTTAAATGACAGCTGTCAGATCTATCTACTTTGACATTTACCATGTCCACAGATTAAAACTAACACCGTTCAAAAATGGAGGAAAATAATCTCTAATATCTATACAATATTTGTATTGTATGAAAAAATATATATTTTTGTGAACCGTCCATAGTATAGCTCAAGTTAACCGCCTGGCCCTTAGTTAGTTCGTGTTCTCAGGCCAAAGACACATTCATCCAAAACTTAGGTGTACTCCATTCTTACGACAATCATTTACTAATAATTAATAAAGATTATTATCAAATTAAAATATAATTCCATACAATTTCATCTAAATCGTCCGTTTAAGAAATAACGACAAAATGTCTGACGTGTACGTCGATACTTATTCGTATATATGTATAATTTAGTCAAATTTCATTAAATACGTACCTATATAACAAGAAGTACATAATATAACCTCAGATAGTAAATAAGGGTTTTGTACATTAGAGTATTGTACAAATGTATGTAGTTGTAAGTAATATTAAGGTAATAATATCAATGCTTTTTAAAAACGGTGTAACTTATAGGTACATTAGAAGTTACCTAGTAATAAGTCTGGATGAAAATTTATTACGCAGTTTCTAAATAAGATTCTGCTTTCAATTACGCAAATGTATTCATTTTAATACATATTTCTTTATATAAAATCTATGGTTTTGATATAACAAAATCCTTTTATTAAATACCAACAAAATATAATTTAATAATTAATAATAATATTCGCATAATTGTCCATAATATGTACATGTAATATAAATAATTAATGTATTGGAATTTCTACTTTATAATCATAATGTTAAAGTATATTATTGTGTATAGATCACGTAAATATTTTAGGCTATGAGTGCCATTAACTATATCTTTTTTACATTTATAATAATAATAATCAACGAATTATTATAGTTGTATGTAAGAAAAAAACATTTATTGTTTTGTAAATAGGTTTATTCGCATTATTTAAAGCAATAAGCTTGTAATACATAATTCCATTCATTTTATGATATATTTTTTTATAATATTTTTAAAATATAGCCTGTAATTATACAATTTTAGAGACGAGTTTTATTTGATTGTTTATTACTTACTGTGTTTTTTTTTTCAGCTGAAAATGACATCGAAATTACGAATTAAGAATATATATTCTATAATTATTTTATAGTCTGTGCTTATATTTTTTTTTTACGAAATCTATGAAATACATCAAGTATAATGTCGTGATATTATAGTGAACTACCTATGTAAAGAGGGATTTGTGAATGAACAAGGTCGCGACTAGAAGCTTGAGCATTCAAACTTTTAAGAATCAACAACGCTGTAATATAATTTGACGATATTAATTAATGTCACTCTTTCAATAATTTTAAAGTAAATAAGAAAGCATAAACAATCAATTAAATATACAACCGAAGTTGCGGTTCATGTAAAGCCAAATTTTTCCGAATATGTTATTTATTCTTAAGAATTTTTATTTAGTCTTTATCATACCACATTTTTGTTTTTGTGTTTTTCAATAGATTTAAAATACACACAGAATTCGTTAATAATGTAAATGTTTTTCTTATTTTGTGATGGGTTTGTCACGAATTATTAACGAAGGTCATCCAACATTCAGAATGACATAACAAGATGGCGGTTTCATATATATTTGTTGTTTTTTTATTGTAAGATTAAATAAAAGAAATAATACTTTAGAATAATTTCATAAATACATGAGATGGTCGGTATTTTAAAAAAGAAATTTCGGTTTTTTTATTTTTCACGATGCACGAAGATATCACAAAATGGCGGATTTTAACATACACTTCAAACTTTTTAATGTGACGGCTAACATATTAATCGTATATTTTCAAATACAGCTTTACTAGGCATCTTCTATATATATAAAAATGGATTGCTGTTCCTTAGTCTCGCTAAAACTCGAGAACAGCTGAACGGATTTATCTTATCTTAGTCTTGAAATGTTCGTGGAAGTTCAGGGAAGGTATAAAAGGTGAGAAAAATTGGAATAATTGCCGGGCAAACCCTAAAAACAGCCCTTTTCTATTTCCCATACAAACGTTTTTTTTGACATTAGATTTGACAACTAACTAATATGTCAATCATTCTGTTTGATTGAAACAGGAAAAACCTGATTATTTATGGCCTCTAAAACGGAATAGAGTTCGCCTGGTCAGCTACTCCTACATATATTACTCTTGACCAAACTAACGCGGACGAAGTCGCGGGCAAAAACTAGTATCTAATAAAAAGGCTAGATGATGACCGCAATCAATATTGGAATTCTTTATTTTTAAGTCAATGTCTAAATAATTAAAGATATGATTTAATATGTAAAATGTTTATGTATATAGGCGTATGTAAATACTATCCATCGTTAAACGAATTCGGCTTTTAAATATCAAAAAACTAAACTTATCGACAAAGATTAACAAGATATATTACAAAATAAATAAATATATGAATTAAAATTTAAAATGGTCGCTAACGTTAAAATGGATTCGTCTTGGTGTATAGTTTCAGAAATTTAAAGAAAATTCTTATATTTATACCTCAACCTACATGGTGTATTTAAGGGCTTTTGTTATTATAACCATGTTTATATTAAAACTTCTTAAAAAAGAATCCACCATTCTAATATTTAGACAAGTTTCACTTATTAAGATTTGTTATTTATTTTTTATTCCGTCCTTATATTAATATCGTTAAAATTGTAAAATTATATGCAATTTAAAATAAAGTATTATAGGATATAAAAATAAATACAAGTTTTCACTCTCTTGCTTATAAATTCATTTCTAAAATATAATAATTTAAATGTCCATTTTATTGGTTGAATAGCATAAACCTCTATCAAAATACAGATTATAAATAAGGTTTCGGAACATTTAAATTTTGTGAGTAACATTTTTATTGAATTATCCCTACTAATATTATAAATGCGAAAGTAACTCTGTCTGTCTGTCTGTCTGTCTGTCTGTCTGTCTGTCTGCTACGCTTTCACGCCTAAACCACTGAACTGATTTTAATGAAATTCGGTACAGAGATAGAGTTGACCTTGAGAAAGAACATAGGATAGTTTTTATCCCAGACTTTTGAAAGGTTCTCTTGGAAACGCGATATAACCGAACTCCACGCGGCGAAGCTGCGGGCGGAAAGCTAGTTATTAATAAATACATATTTTCTACTATATTAAGACCTAGATTTTTAGAATGGCTATAAATTTAAAATATACTAATTTATTCTGCATTTTAGTTCTACATTTAGAGGAAGATGAAATGAGGAGAAACGACAAACAGCACTGCAATATTTTTCTCACACAGATCATATAAATAGACATTATACACGTTTCGTATTTTATTACCTTATTTTAAAATATATTGATTTTTTTGAAATTATGTATTGTTATTCAGGTAAAATTTTTTTCAAAAGTATTATTATAAAATAAGTAGATATTTTTTGAAAAAAAAAATCATTATTCTTAGAATTACCATTGGTATTTAAAGATTTTTTTGTATAAAAAAATTATGATTGGGAATGTTTTTAATTTTAACTTTATGTCTAATTGATGTTTATTATTAAAGTTTATTTTAAGTGATTTTCTTAAGGATATATATTATCGTTATTGATGATCCGTGACG